ACTTTGCCTACCCTCTGCGCAGTTCACTGAAGCACTGAATAGTAATTAAAAGTAATACAGAAGGTTTCCTCTCAGTGACATTGTCACTAATTTCCAGGATGATGACTTCTGGTTTCACTTAAATTTAGCAATTTTCAGCAGAATATTGAAGCCTTATGAATTTTGAAGCACTTTCACAAACGCCAACTAGATCTTATACCCATGAAGTTCAGGTTGACAGTCAAGGGGACCTTGGTTCACTCCTTGTATCTGAATCTGAGCTATAAATTTTTGAAAGAATTTAATATATTTATCATTAAATTAAAAAGGGGAAGGTTTGTGGTGGACAGTGGCTAATTACCTGTTTATATTTCACACATTCATTTTGATACAATAAGCATGCACAAAGATGTTTGAGAGGAGGAGAAATAGGTGTATAATTATAGGGGCTGCTTTCTAGTCTATGAAAATGGATAAATACTTAGTCATATGCTGTGAGGAAAAGCTTCCCGAAATATGTGAAGATCCATTGAAGTAAGGATTGGATGGACTCTCTACGGTCATTTTATTAATGTTCCCTCTTTACCTCAAAATAAGTTTCACAGATTAATACAGCATCTCCAGTTCCTCACTAGCTACTTTTCTATAGTTAGGCTTGGAAAGCTTGGATTTTTATTGGTAAATACCAGTAAACTTCTATTTTTTTCCCCCCACACACAAACAGACAACAAAAAAATACTACTTTCCCTGTTTGTAAATTTTGATAAAAGTAAGAGAAATGCTGCGTGAAAATTGTTAGTTTGACTTAATGCTATTTACATTGTCAGCATCATATGTCAAAAGATACAATGTGTATTAATGGTTATAAAGCTTTTAACTTTTTGAACCTGAACATTACTATCATTAAATAATTTTCTGACCCCCTGTAATTTCCCAAAACTGAAAATTTAAATAGAATAAAATTTAAAAATATTATCCATCAAAATTATAAAAAAAAATCTAATCCTTCCAAAAACCAAATTCTGCTAAGCCTATGTATGGCTCGTCCCTGAGAATCGCTAGCGATGGTGATATCACAACTTCCCTTTGCATCTTGTACCAGTGCCTGATTATTTGTAGTGACTGGCAGTCCTAGAAATGTTGTGACTAAATCCTGTATGAAAACTGTCATTGCTCTTCATCTTTCTTTTAGTAGCCAGAAACAGTGATTCCAAATCAACGTGGTCTCCTGGTTCAGTCACTAACACCTCTCTGGCTCATGAGCTGTGGAAGGTCCCTTTGCCACCTAAAAGCATCACTGCTCCGTCCCGCCCGCCACCGGGGCTGACAGGCCAGAAATCACCTTTGTCCACATGGGATAACTCCCTTCGTTTGGGTGGAGGATGGGGAAATTCTGATGCCAGATATACCCCTGGTAAGAGTTAAACGAGGCAGTTTCTGGGCTGAGATTTGAATCAGAAATGTAACTCAAGAATGTTGTAGAGATATCATTCCAAGAACAAATATCTGTCTGTATTTCCTAAGAAAACTGCATTTCTGAAGAATCATTCATGTACAAAGTTGACTCTGGATTTTCTTTGAAATACCGCACATGGCAGAAATACTAATTGTGTTTTATGTTCATTCTGACTTGTAGACCACCTTAG